CCCGGGCTGCCATGGCACCACTAACATTTAGGGTCAAATGAAGAGGACAAAATCTTTTTTTCACTTTAATTTAAAGGGGGGGAGGTGATACAAATGTGGTTATAATGGAAGTCTATGGTACAAATCTTGTAGGTTAACAGTCCCTCCTTTATTATTCAGATGGATCAGCTGATGATACTAATAATAAAGTCAAATTTGTTCTTAGAATATTTAATTATAGTGTATTTTTTCAAAAAAGCAGTTACTGGTATACTATCAAAACTGGTATCTAAAGGGTTAATTTTGTATCGTGATTAATTAAATAATTATGTAAATTAAACACTTCATGAAAAAATGGAGGAAAAAAATTAGAAAAAGATTGATCCGTCATCATTTTATTGCAGTTCAAATACAAATATTTTATGTAAACATTCCCAATGTTACTTTTTTTAACAGGGCATTAAGTGCAAATTGAAATTGTTTACAAAATATGAAAATATATTAAAAGATTATACAGATAATGCAAAATAGGACCAATTTTGTCAATGGCTGCCTACTCCACTCTCCCCCATGATCTCCCCCATCTTATTTCATAATCATGCTTTTTGGTCTCAATTTTTCTGGCTCTTGCTTTCGGATTGTTAGCTAAGCAATGGCTTTGAAGCCAAGTCTTGACATATACATCTGGTCTGAAGTTCTGAACGTGTTCAGTGGGGGCCGGGCCAACACACTTGATGAAAAGCAAGTCTGACATGCTTTTTACCTCGGGAGCTTCTAGTTGTGGTTAAAATGTTCATCTGACTAAACCCACGTTCAGACTCAGCTTTGGAGATGACCAGAGTGTTCACTGCTTGAAGGAGGGGTATGGAGTCAGATTTGGGTCAATATTCTAGCACGTAAAACAAGCTACTCACGAGCGGAAAATGTGCTTTTACACCCGCATAAAATGACCCTCGCGTGCAGTTTAAACCCCCGCGAGCGGCTCTGCGCCCGCGAGCGAGAGACAGCCCTCTTGCTCGCTCGCGGGAGTATCAGCCTCGCGGAGTCTGTCTACGCGCGCGTGAAAAGTTTCTGGCACTTTGGGGCGGAGCCACTGGACTTTGATTGACAGCTGCCAGGAAACCCGGAGTTGCTAGGTTTGATAAATGCCTGAACTACCAAGAGCCGAGGAGTGACGGCAGCAAAATCAGTTGGACGAGATTGAATGGTAAAGTTGTCCATAAAAAACTATTATATTCGTAAAGTGTACAGCTAATATATATATATATATAAATTAATTTTATATAAAACAATATATTTTTGAGTGGGCTGTATCTGTCGAAAATTGCATATATATATATATATATAAATTAATTTGATATAAAACAATATATTTTTGAGTGGGCTGTATCTGTCGAAAATTGCTAGCTACTGTCTGCTGTACACTCTTAGAAGGGATGTGTCAAAAATGACACAACATGTGTTGAATTTCAACTACAGAGTGTGCTCAGGGACAACACGTGTTGTGTTTATTTATGTGTAAATAATTTTTACACACAAAATGTGTTACATGCCCCAAACACACAATGTGCACATTTTACACATTGTGTGTCATAAATGTGTAACCAAGATGAACACATTTGTTATTTCTGCACATTTTGTGTTATATTTCTTTAACCAGAATTAACATTTGATTGTGTTATATCTGCACATTGTGTGTCAATGACGATTACTGGAAGTACCAGGTGGTGGATATGGTTTTTATTCAAAAAATCGAATGCAAGAATACATTCATTGGACATTTATTTACAAGGATTTCATTAGCACAATATGTCATTAAGAAAATAATTGTTAACATTTAAAAATATTAATATGTTTCTAATTCATCAAATGTTGACAGAATAGATAATTCATAAAATCACACCTAAAAAAACCTTATACCTTGGTTAAAACAAACTTAATCTTCAGCAAACTATTGTTGTAAATGACTTTCAGCTGAGGGAATATAGTGATGAGATTCTTCACAAGGACCACCTTTTCAGTGTTGGATGGGTAATTAAGGATAAAAATGAATGACAAGTGAGCTATTTATTTTTTTCAAAAAGAATACAACAGTTCTAGCATACAAATATTACAAATGCGTGATAATAAAGCAATTGGTTATAAAGAATGTCCTTTTGTATCAAGCAAATAAAAAAACAATTTTTACAACCAATTATATTTATATATATATATATATATATATATATATATATATATATATATATGCAATTTTCGCCAGATACAGCCAACTCAAAAATATATTTTTTATATAAAATTAATTTTTATATATATATTAGCTGTACACTTTACGAATATAATAGTTTTTTATGGACAACTTTACCATTCAATCTCGTCCAACTGATTTTGCTGCCGTCACTCCTCGGCTCTTGGTTGTTCAGGCATTTATCAAACCTGGCAACTCCGGGTTTCCTGGAAGCTGTCAATCAAAGTCCAGTGGCTCTGCCCTTAAGTGCCAGAAACTTTTCACGCGCGCGTAGACAGACTCCGCGAGGCTGATACTCCTGCGAGCGAGCAAGAGGGCTGTCTCTCTCGCGAGCGAGCGCAGAGCCGCTCGCGGGCGCAGAGCCGCTCGCGGGCGCAGAGCCGCTCGCGGGCGCAGAGCCGCTCGCGGGGGTTTAATCTGCGCGCGAGGGTCATTTTATGCGCGTGTAAAAGCACATTTTCCGCTCGTGAGTAGCTTGTTCTACGCGCTAGAATATTGACCCAAATCTGACTCCATAAAGGAGGCTTTCCTTCAAGCAGCTGCGGGCAGCAGATACCGTGAGAGTCCCGGACATGAATTCATAGATCAAGGCAGACTGGTTTACTCTCCTGTTTTGCCAATCCGGTGCTTAAACAAAGGCAAGTTTATTTATATAGCACTTTTCAACACAAGGCAATTCAAAGTGCTTTACAAAAAAATGAAAGACATTAAGAAAATGGCATTTAAAATCAGTCATTAAAAAGAAAAGATAGTAAAATAAACATATAGCTCTACACCCCTGGCCGACATGTCCTTAAAATGAAGTCCGAGTTTGAAATATATCTCAAATAATGTATGCACTGCATTTCCCCACATAAACATAACAGTCTGCAATTAAACGGTTGTCTCCTGTACGCTCCTCTTCCTACTTGGCGCACCGGTAACTTTCTCGTGCGCACAAGAGGCTGAGACCAGGCTGAGCCGCCGAATCCCTTGGAACATCATAAAAGCCATTTTCAATGGTTATCTGGTGAAAGATTAACTAGGCTACTGGATGAAATAATATGACTGATATAGGTGCGAACATTAAACACTTTTTGAAAAAATATTATGATAAAATATTTTTATATATTTATAATTCTGCAAATATTACGATAAACTCACAGCTATTTCGCGGCCCTGCAGTAACACCTCCACGGCCCGGTACCGGTCCGCGGACCGGGGGTTGGGAACCCCTGGTCTAGGGCACTCGCATAGCATAGCGTCAGTGGCTTGGTAAAAATGTTATTGCATGTGTGGGCTCCCTCACCCACAGTATTTTACTCAATATGCGCAAAATTAATGTTGAAATAGCAGTAATACCAGTGCCACGTTCATTGATAAAATGACATAAGGGATGGAAAGGGGGGATGGCAGTTTTAGAAGGGGGATGATTTTGACCGTTTTTATTTCAGGGGGGATGCCATCCCCCCTCATCACCTCAACTCGAGTACTGCCTACAACACATCTTAAAGGTAACTATAAACAATAAATAACAAACCAAATACAAGCTTAGTTTTTCAAATATTTTTAATATACATTTCGATTGAATTGATTGATTTTATTTTTTTTAACATGTTAATAGGAAAAGTAATCATACAAATGGTGATACAATTGCATACATCTTACCAATCTAACACAGGGTAAATTCAACTTTAAATGTAGCCTACAATGAGCTCTTATTATCAACTTGGCCTACTTTCATTCATTTCTCCATTGAAAAACTGGCTCAATTTACCCCCATGGTTCACTTTACCCCATCGCCACCATTTTAGAAAAAATAGCCTAGCATTCAAATTCAGAGTCATCTTTAGCTTAATGATTCACATGGTTTAATACGCTGCCAACACATCAACATCTACAATATATGTGTTTAAACCTGGATACTTTTTTTTTGACATGACAGCCGATATAGCTGACATCTAGAAAATGTACTTTGACAAGCAAAAAACGTTTTTTTGTAAAAATGTTTACTTACCAGAGCACAATGAGCATCTCTCTTTCACAGGCAATGAGAAATGGGTGGAGCTTGCATAATTTCTAGTCACTTGATTACAACTATAAGGCGTTACCTGGTTACAGGGGGTGGTTCAATTTACCCACTGGCTCAACTTATCCCCTTCTCCCCTATACATTTAATTAGATTAACCAAACAGAAGCCAAGAAAATACTTTAATACAGCAAACAAAAACTATATAAAGTGGTTTAAAATGTGCTTTTCCATTTAGATATTTATTTTTTCTAGCCTCATGTCCTTCAGTACACAGAAGTCCTGGCCATACTTTAATGGAAACATATAAATATACAGCCATTATCTAATGTTACCATGAATACGCTCATATTTTACATAAATAGGAACATTAATGATTTACCACAAACGTAAAACTAGCAAGATACTGTATGTGTTCATGAAATAATTTTACAGGACAGTCAGTGTTGGATATTCTTTAACTTTTACGGGGACATTAATCATCTTGATCTTTCACATTTTACTGCACTGTTTCACAAATCAGCTTTTAATCTTCCACCCATTTGTATTTACATTCATGAAATGTTTAACTAATGTTAGGCAATATACCATAAATCTCTGACTAACCAGCCAACCTCTCATCTTTGTACACACTACAGAGAGTGGTATTACAACAGACTCTTAAGGAAAGGAACCTGTTGGACGACATGTCTGTGACACAAAGTGGGACATGACAAACCGTCACAGTCACAGTCAGAGACCTGGAAAGGTTTCATGTTTACGGTTGTACTGTACTGACAGCATTTAAAGGACTCTGCATGTGTAAGTATGTCTTAAATTAGCTTATTTTTACAGGATGTGTACATTTTATATTGCAGATATAAATAGACACATGTTGGCTGCATTGTAAGGTTTCATTTTTTATGAACGTCTTTAAAGGCGAGTCAACGTATTAGAAACTCAATGCCAAATGTTCCCTAGAAAGACATTGTGCTGTGATTGTTTTGCACCGCACTGTAATCAGGTGTTTTATGTGTTAAGACTTTAATGTATTACCGTTGAATGTGTCATAAGGTGTCACCTAATGTCTTTTCTCTTACAGGTAGGTAGTATCACAATGGAATTTTCTTGTGGATTTGTTTATGTGCCGCCAGCAGTGAGTCAAAAGAACGGCCAACAATCCAATGTCATCAAGCGCTCAGGTGGGATTTCTTTAAAACACTGCAGCCATCAAAATGTAAAACACTCATTTTTGTTTAAAACCACTTATGTCAAATCTCTGGGTCCAATTTACAGTTTATTTGTCTAAATTCAAAAGATCACTCGGCACATATATGTTCAATGCAGTATCAGTGGAGTATCTAAAGCATCAACAGATGTTAGTGTTATGTACACAACTTATAGAGATCTTGCGTGCAAACGTCAACAAATGGTGGCCTTGATTTATTCTCTCTATGGCCACTAAGTAGTTGTGGGGTAGAAGTCAGACAGAAAAAGGATCCAAACAGGCAGACATGATCAGTTTAAGGATTTTATTAGTAGATGATACTTACAAGCAAAGAAACCATGTATCTGAACATCCATAGGATTACATTTAAGGAGCATGGAAAAGGTAAAGACAGGTAGAGATTTTAGCTCAGGTAGAAGAAACTGGAAACAAAGGCAAGAAGCAATGTTAACAATCTGACTGTTGGATAAGAGGCTGCTATAAAAACTGACAGGGTGGTCACAGAGAGACACAGGTGAGCAGGTGGACAGATGCAGAATAGCAATGACAGCTTCATACAGTAGAAATGCATCGGCCTGGGGAAGTTGAATAAGAATTCAGGCAGCTGTCAGGACCGTCAGTCTCAGATTCAAATACTTCCTCTGTTGACTCACCAGTTTGAAGAAAATTCAGCAAAGAGACACTAAGCTTTACTGTACAGTCTCTACGTCTATCATCGCCACGTCACCTGCTGTCAGTCCCATTCTCTGCAGGATTTAAAAGTTATTCTGGAAAAATTGTTGAACACGTTGAGAGAGAGATTAAAGAAGTAAAATCCAATATATGATCACAACATTATTGCTAATTCATAACGACATTGCCTTTCATCCGAGCGGCTGAGTGACTGCTTGTTTGGTTAAGTGTTATGCAATCATTGACACACACAACCTCTGCTGTCTTCCTTAGAAGGAGAAATTCCTTTCAGATACTTTGCTTTTCTCGGATAAAGCCATCTGCCACCTGAGTCACATTTTCTTCACAGCACAAAGGTCATCGCTGCCACCAGTTGTTTTCTCTGAGCTCACATTTCTCTTGCAAGAAGCTATTCTCAGATTAACAGCCACTATACGTTTGTTTTTTATGCCTTTTAGCTCTTCTCCCTCCTGTAAACCGGATGCGTCCTCGCAGTCCTCCCCCTCCTCCTCCAACAAACTCTGCCGAGGCCAAATCACCGAAACCCCTCCGACCTCTTCTAAAGGTTATTGAGCAGTTGGAAAAGATCAAGGATGTGAAGAAGGCTGTGAAGTCTACTGTTTTCTATGAAAATGAAGAATTTCACAATAAACCAGAAGCATCTCCAACACCTCCTCGTAGAACAGGTACTGTGGATGCAGCAGTATTTGTGTTAATGTATGGTATAATCTTAAAGATGTCTTATTATGCTCACTTTCAGGTTCATATTTGTATTTTGTTCCTCTACTATGACATATTTAAAAGGTTAAATGTTCAAATATTTCTTTATTTTTCTCATAGTGCCTGTGCTGCAGAACCTCTTTTCACCCTCTGTCTGAAACCAGAGCCTAGTCTGCTCTGATTGGTTAGCTGGTCGGCTCTGCTTAGAGATGTCCCGCCCCTTAGCCAATCACGTACAATGTGTTGGAGTGCTAGCCAATAGAAGCGCCAATGTTACTGTCTGATATCACAAAGAGTGTGTGGGAGAGAAACATTCTCCAGAGGTAACTTTGGGATTTTAGCCAAGGCAGACCATTAACATGTACTTAGTCTAAGGGGCGGGACATCTCTAACGGTAGACCAATCCCAACAGAGCCGGAAGGCTAACCAATCCGAGCAGACTGGACTCTGGTTTCAGACAGAGGGTGAAAAGAGGTGCTGCAGCACGTATGAGAAAAATGAAGACTTTTTTTAACATTAAAGCATGGAGACATGTCACAGTAGAGGCGCAAAATACAAATATGAAACCTGAAAATGCGGGTAATATGTCCTCTTTAACACCACTCATCTGCACTCAGCTCTTCTTCCACCACACATGAAACCATCATCCACCAGACACTCCCCTCCGTACAGCCAGCCGTTCGACTCCTCCAGCACTAACAGTCAGGCATTTACCTACGACCTCCCAAAAGATGAGCCAGATTCAAACGCAAGTCTCTGGGACCCAAACTACTCGTACACCACCCCTGAAGGCACGGGGGGCGAGGTGAAGCCGCCCACTGATACTAACAACGGGTCAACCAAGGCACTAGGTAAACAGACAATTTATGTCTATTTGTATTCATTTTTAAGGTACAGACAGATAATCCCAGTTTCATTCTGCTCTCAAACATCAGTCCCGCCACTTCCTCCGAGGCCTTCATTCATGAAGTCATTGCCGTTGTACTTAGTGCTGCTACCCACCTTTCAATCATCTCCCTCATCACCTCAGAAAACAGACTCGCCGCTTATCCCATCACCTAAAGGTACTTGAAACTATCTCTCTCTTGGTGTCAAAACATTAAGACTCTATATGATGTTTTTACACCATCAATGATTATTTTAATGCTCTTTTCTCAGCAGACAAGAGTCCTCTTTCGGGAAATCCTAACGTGCTTCTTGTCAGTTTAGGGAAATTACTGTCTGAAGAAAGAGGTCAGTATACTTTTATCATCACCATAAATCTTTTTTATCAATAATCTAGTTTGATTTTCAATCCATTTGGCTTATGATGACTGATGTTTGGCATATTTCCAGGGCAGATCACACAAGGGGAACCCACCTCCTGCTCACAGTGTGGCTCTGTGTTGGACTCAGGCCATAGAAACGTAATTACTACATGCTGTATTTCACTCGATATTCATCCTGATACTGATAAGTGGCAGCTTGAGAGTCATTGATTTCAAATGTGAATAATAACTGTATGTCTCCTTGTAATTACCACAAATACTGTGCGTGACAAGCGTAATCATTATTGATCAAACCATTTTTGATTGATACAAAGTGCAGGATTTAGTATATGGAAGCCCTGAGAGAAAAATGAGAAGAAAAAAAATCTGATGATTACATTTTTAACATTCTTTTTTTTTAAATATGTAAAAGAAAGTGGGAAAAGAAAGCTTTTTGCAGGTGAATTTTTGTTGATGTTGTAATACTAATGTCGGCCACAAGACGCTGAAGTGCATCTCTACACAAAGTTTTTAAATGGTACTAAAAGCATTTATGTTTTCCTCCAAGTGAGTTTTAATTTCTCTAAACACATTGTACATTTAGTGTGTGTTAGAAAGTTATGTATTAGTTCTTTCGTGTTGTTCTTTTGGCTGGAAAACATAGATTTTAGTCTTATTCAAAACATGTCGTGGCCTAAATGAGAAACCAACGAACAACTTGAAACAATAGAAACGTACTTAACTTTTTTTCTCCAATCTTTTTAAGAAAGAAATAATATCAAGAAAAAAACTTGTCTTCAAATGTTCATACATTATAAACACGGGACACAAAACTATTTATATATAACTTGGATGACCAAAATTGCCTCTCACGGCTTCCGTAGGTTTCAGTTAATGTTGGTTATTTCTCTGTAAAAGTTATATTTATTTCAGGTAAAGGACTGTTACTTCTGTGGGTCTTGGGAGCCACAGTGTCCTCTAACTGGTCACCGGGACGGCCTGTTTTCTCTCTGTCCTGATGAAAAGCCCCTGGGTGCCGCTGACCCTCTGCTGCTCCTCTGCATCGACATCTCAGGCTCCATGAGCATCACCGCCGAGGTAAGTCCACACCATCTGACTCTGAGGTATTAATGTGGAGGCCATTTGTAACAGCTGAGGATTCAATCATCAATCTCTGTTGTTTTAAGGTGTCAGAGGGAGAGAATGTGGTCCATAAATCCCGTCTTCAAGTGAGTTTTAATCCCATTTATAAGTGTTGTTGTAAAATTTGACTCAAAATGAACATAATGTTAGACTTAACAAACTGTTGGCTGAGGTAGAAGTGAAGCTCTCAAAGAAACACATATGACTTGACTTAAAGAAATATGCTGTTTGTCTACATCAGGGGTGTCAAACTCAATTTAATCTCGGGCCACATTAGCATCATGGTTGCACTCAAAGGGCCAGTTTTATATATAAGACTATATAAAAAATACATATATGAATATTTAATACATGTAAAATAATGTATTATATTACATTATTGGATGATTATCGGATAGGGTAATAACTTAATAATCAACTACGTCTGAAAGCAGAAGTCTGGGGCAAATAATTGCAAGTCTCTTCAGTGAGAATGTCACAAAATTATTTTAAAAGAAAAGCCAAATTCTGGGAAAAAATAAGTGACATTTTGAAAAAAAAGTCAGATTCGGAGAAAAAAGGCATATTTTGAAGAAAAAAAGTCACATTTGAGATGCATTGTGGGACATGTAGTTTATGGGCAACGTGCTTCTGTAAATCAGCATGTAACCCTGGCCTATAATAAACATATTATATTCTTTGCAAGCTCTTGTGGGGCCACAGAAAATGAAGTCACGGGCCGGATTTGGCACCCGGGCCTTGAGTTTGACACCCCTGGTCTACATGCACAGCAGAGTCACCATATCAGCTGTACAAAGATCTGTGTTTCGATGCCAGCGATGATAAGAAATCATTGTTTTCAACCAGTTTGTCCAGGAGGCCGTGCTGCAGTGTGTTCAGAGACTGAGTGAACAGCAGCCTGGCATGAGAGTGGGACTCATCACCTTCAACTATCAGGTACGTGCACGAAAAAGTGATCCTGGTCTCACAAGATTTAAATATTCTCCTCAGGTTTAAAGTATATATAAATACAAGTCATCCCTGCGGCTTTCCTTCCCCCCTGCTGTGACCAGGTGACGATGCATGGAAACGAGATTTTCACGTCACACTCTCTGAGCAATGCAGAGTTGATTGACTGCAACTTCCTGAAAGAGGCTGCAGCCAGTTTCCCCACGCCTCCTCCTCTCTCTCAGACCAGGGAATACTTACAGAAACAAGTTATGGGGTAAAGAGAAAAAGAAGCACTGATTAGGTTACAATCACTTGTTTTGTTTATTATATAATGTATGTTTTTCCTCTTGTTGAAAGACTATCTGAAGGCGGGACAACGGCTCTGGGTCCAGCTGCTCTCCTCTCCATCGCAATAGCCTCCAGACAGCCAGGGTCCAAGGTCAGTCTGGTACTAGTCTGACCCTATACTGTGTATTTATCTATCAGGTTTAGTTTCTAGATACTATATACAGATACAAGTTTTGCACATAAAACATATAAAGAGTTTGACAATAAGAGTAACTGTTTAAGGTTTTTTTGCAGTCATTTTTCATTCAATAATATTTCATGGTGCCAAATGTTCAAATAAATATTTCAAATATTTGCTGTTTTTTCTTTTAATTATCTAACTTGATTATAATGTAATTTAACTACTATTATTTATTTTTTATTTTTAGGTTTGTCTGTAGTGTTTTTGTCAGAGTCTTTATAAAAATGTTAACCGTTAATTCAAAATAATTAACAGAATAATCCATAATGCAATGTAATGAATAATAAATTGCTTTACAGTTCTTTTCAAAATCACCTCTACTGAAACCAACTACAACAACAAACTCCTGCTTTTATATGAATGTATTAGAAATAATAATATATATTTTTTTAAAAAGATAGTGCATGATAGTAGAAAAGTTAGAGGGGATACTTTTCTTCATTTCTTTTACTTTTAATTGAATGCACTTTCCTGATTATCGTATATCATTTTCCTAAATTAACATTAAATGCATGACTGGTAACATGTTTTTCTTTTCTTTGTCTGTGTCTTTTGTCTAAAAACAACTAATTCCTGACCTGCTATCCCTGCTGATTTTGAAGGTGATTATCTGTACAGATGGGAAGGCCAACACAGAGCTGGGGAACCTGGAGGTCGAGGATCTTGACGCTCGCACCCTCCTCTCATCCACCATCTTCTACCAGGAGCTGGGGCTCTACGCTGCCAATCAGGGGTCTGTACACATCAAATCATCAGTGTAAAGTGTGGAACAAGCTTTACAATAGATAATAAAAACTGTGGGAAAAAAACTGTAGACAGATGTGTGTGCTCCTGACAAATGTAATGAACGTCCCGCTGATTTGTCATTGTTCCTCCAGTGTGACCGTGTCTGTGCTGTCCATCGAGGGAACAGACTGTCGGCTGGATGAGCTGGGCCGACTGGCTGATCGCACCGGAGGGACAGTAAGATGCTTCAACATTAGTCCGATTAATGTGTGCTGGTATTTTTATTTTAATGTACTATTTTGCTAATCTATCTATGTGTTTTGTCCCTTAGGTGGTGATAGCCAGCCCCAACAAGCTGCACTCAGAGTTCGAACACATTATCGAGAACAAGACGATAGCTACACACTGCACCGTCACATTACTGCTGCCACAATCACTGTAAGATCTGCACTGAATTTATTTGATTTTATATGATTACATTTAATTGTATTTCCCTAATTAATCTATTTTTTTTAATTTTATTAGATTTTATTTTATTTTACTCTATTAGATGTTATTTGATATTATTGATATTACGTTTTTATTATTATTCATTATTATTATATGTATTATTATTGTAATGTTAGGCTCTTTATTTATTTAGGGAAAATGTAATGGCAAAACAAATGAATAGTGAAATTAATAAATCAATGTATCCAAAAGAACATCTGCACTGTATTTACCTTCAATACAAATACTTCCAAATTCTTCACAAGTGGTCTATTTTGCACATGAATGCCATTTAAATTGTTACCAAGCATTGACTGATGTTCTCTCTTGTTCCAGGCCCATAAGAGGAGAGAGGGAGGCCGGACAAAAAGTGACCCGAGAGGTGGGGAACGTGGATCCAGACACAGAGATCACCTTCCAGTTTGGAGCCAGCGAACAGGACACAGAGGGTGAGAAACCACTTGTATGTCAATGGATGTAGACATTGACATTCATGACATTGTCTCACTGCAGACCCTAAATCTGAATCCATGTCTGACCATGTCTCTAGTGATATATTATTTAAAATTCTTCTGTTATTGAAACTAACAAAAACATGTAAGAGCATTTTGGTTAGTCAATGTGGAACCAATTTGGGATTCTAACTTTTAAACTAGATTAGTAGTAAAGTACTGGGTCATATCATCTAATTATATTGTGTGTTTTTTCTTATTTGTTAAGTGTCAATTGAAAGTCTAGGGTGAAAATTACAGTATTTGACAAAGTGTACTTTCATTCTAACACAGGAAATAAACATGTTTTTCCTCTGTGCTCCAAAAACCCTTTAAGAATGTTTTTTCCCTGGACTCTAAATGTATTTTTGTGCTTCTCTCCAGTGTTGGCGCCGGCCTCTGGCAGCCATGTTTCCATCCAGCTGCAGATCAGGTACCGTCAGAGGAGAGGACGGACGATGCTCAGAGTGATCACTGCAGACCGAGAGGTTACTGATGACAGGTGATGAAGACGTTTCCATAATAACTGAGCTTCTCTTACTTTTGGGGTTTAAGATTCCATCACGCAATGAGCTGCATGCTTACGGCCTACTCCTTGTAATCTTAAACAAGTCATTATCTTCTTAAATCTTTAATCAACGAGGCGTTTTCACCCTGAGGACAACAATTTTGATTAGATGTATTATTTGTATTCCAATCTCAGTAAACCCTGAGGCAAAGCAGACTGGCTGTTGCTGAGAAACAGGAGCCTTCACATCATGCAGATATGATTTCACCATGTATCCGTTCTAACATTTAGTCACACAGTAAACCTCTTCACTCAGTCTGCCTGCTTCATATTCCTCATGAAGGTCGTGCAATTCATATTCTGAGCTGATACAAAGCGGCCCGTGTGTGTGTGTGTGTGTGTGTGTGTGTGTGTGTGTGTGTGTGTGTGTGTGTGTGTGTGTGTGTGTGTGTGTGTGTGTGTGTGTGTGTGTGTGTGTGTGTTTGTACATAATACAATGGGAAGGCTGCAGCGGTAAATGTTGAGAAGCACTCTCATAACAAAGTGTGTGTGTTCCTCCTCAGCTCGGCCGCCCTGTCCTCCCTCTCTCTGGCCATCATTCAGCTCAACTCGTCTCAGGCCAGTGCCGCTCTGGCTGTCAGAGGACGCTTCCTGGATGCCAGGAGGGAAGGAGAGCTGCAGAGGAAGCTGATCGAGAGAGCCATGTGAGGACCGGGGTGTTGGGGTGTGGGAAACTCTGACGTGTGGCCAGCGTGTAGAGCACTTCATAGATGAATTTAATGAGGATTAATGCAGTTCTATACTCCCATAGAGAACGACAGAAATAAAGACAAGTCCAATAGTGCAAGTGATTAAAATAAGAAAGGATCAAATGCTATGATCAATAATGGATTTAGATGGCATTATGACACTTGAATTTGATTACAGAAATTGAAACAGAGGCAGTGGCGTAACTATCGGACCGGGGCCCAGAGCCGGCAAGGGGCCCATGCAAAACAAATATTTTTTTTAATTATTTTTTTTATTTGGGGGCCCCAATGGCATTGACCGCTTCATGCAGTCTTCAAAGTAACCAAGCAACCTAAATTAATTTGTAATTTGTCTGTACAATGACCTTGCTCCCTTTCATGTCATGTGATACCTTGTGTGACGAGCGAACCGTTAATCAACCTGTACTGTACTGTAGCTGCAGCAGCAAGTTCGGTAGACCATTTCCCAGAGACAAACATCAAGGAAGCAGGTGTAATCCTCTTCTTAGTTCGCTGTGGCGTTGTCAGGCTGTGCTGGTCTGAGGCCAGGGCAGGCTGTTCTTGATAGCCTACATGTGGCGCTTCTGAGTGGTTGTGTATGTCCGTGCGTGTGTGAGCGCATCAGCGTGCGCTTATGTTTGGGGCGATGGGGGGGGGGGGGGGGCCCAAAACAATATTTGCACCGGGGCCAATCACAACCTTGTTACGCCACTGAACAGAGGCAACTAAATCAGCTTGCTCTTCATTTGTATGCTTTAAAGACCATTATTATTACCTCAAACTGGTTAAAACGGTTTACTGTTGTTAAAGCTTTCAATGACAAAATTATATCAGCAGTAAAATGGTGTGTCTCTGATCCTTGCCCAATAAACTGGGTGGATCAGTAATAAAGTATTGCATCATGTTATTTAATTATTGTATACTTGAATGCATGCTGTTTATTAGATGCAGTATTCTTTGGGCTGCAGAAACTGTACTTAAAGTGAGTCTGTCTGTTTGCAGAGAGCACAATAGCAGTGCAGAGGACCATCAAACATACCAAGAATGGGTTAAAACCATGGAGCCTATATACAACAACATACATAACTTCACAAGGGTGAGTTTATACAGTGTTTGAAGTTTCATGTTGGTTAAAATTGCATAATTTAACTTTATCCTTTTGTTTTTCCAGAGAAAATCAGTTGTTTCCGACTCACAGGTAATCCCTTTCATGTTCTTGTAAATTAAAATGTTTATTACTTTTTACTTTAATACTTTTCTGGTTTTGCATAACTTCTGCTGGTAATTCCTCCTTTTACTCTCCTCCCACCAGTCTCTAACAGACGCTGGTGCAGCACTTCTATACACCATGAAGCACAGCAACAGGAAGTCCATCTCGCGGAAGAATGAACATAAATTCTAGCCAACAGTCAGACTCCACCTTTCATCTCGCTGGAAGCAACTCGAGTCAACTCATGAATGGAAAGGATTGCAGTTTGACTCTGACTGACTGATCTGGCTGAATGAAGATCCCTGGAATATTTCACAATATAAATAATGTAATACAGCGTATCAACATAAAACACGGTCATAAAGAGACTCATTTCTCAGAGTGAGACTTCAAAAGATTTCTTTCAGCGTTGTTTCAAAACTGCTGATGCAGTGCAGTGCTCATGGGTGTAAATTAACCACCAACCAAAACACGATCAGCAGCTGACACTATGTCAGCAAAAACACAGCACACAACTAATAAACCTCCAACAGTTAGTGTAGTTTTAATTATGAGAATGTAATTGTAATGAATGTAGTTTTTGGCACCAGACTTGGCAAAGCAAAAGAACATTTAATCATACATTATTGTTGTTTAAATATATGCTCTGAATAAGGTTAAGAAAAGGCATCAATGCAGTGAGCATATGTTTATATAATTTATATATTTCAAAGAAAAAACGGGTCAATAAAAAAAGTGTTAGTGAGCAATGGAGAGCATACAGGATCAGATGCCTTAGCCTTAACAGCGGTAAAATGTAACTAAATACATTTACTCAAGTCCTGTTCTTTAATACCATGTTTAGGATACTTCTATTTCAATTGTATGGTTCTTTATACTTCTTATTACACTACCTTTTGGAGAAATCTATTTATTAACTTATGAGTTACAGATTTGCACCTTTTTAGGCTACAATATTGAAGTCATGTAAATATTATTTTATCACTGAATATTATTACATAACATAGATATACATGATTCTGAAATGGGCCATTAATGAGCACTTTCTTTAATGCATGTTTTTAATGCATACTTTAAGGTATTTGGAAGCAAAAACAAACTACTTCTGAAATTGTGATAACATATTTGAGACAGATCATGTCCCTTTCAATCTGGTTTACTGTACATAATACAGTTTAAGACATGTTTTGTTTTATCGGGATCTGAGTATGTTCTGTAAGTTCAAACAGAACCTTATGAAGGCTCAAAATGTTATAATTTCGCTGCATGGTGAAATACGTTTATTGATGGGATGTAGGTCGCAGAGCAGGAACACAAAGGAAACACGGATGCATGTTAATTTTAGCATTCAGAAATGTCACAGCAAATGGACAGATTGCACATATGGATTGAAGTGTTGCTTAATGTACTTCCAGGTACCTAAGGTGTCATTAATGGAAATAAAGAGTGTAGCAAGAGCTCACCTTCTATAGCTGCAGCCGCTAATGGAAAACTACGCTTTTGCTTTTAAAAGGTGCATGAAATGTCAGCGTCTTCAGTAAATGTGTTCTTTTAATCTTTGTATATGTGGTATAAAAACCGACTTTCTTCTTTTTTTTTAACTTGACAATTCTTGTATTATTAGTTTGATATTTACAAAGTAAAACAGTTACAAATTATTTTTTCCAACTCAACATGTGAATTCAAAGAATTGAACACAGGCTTTAAAAGGATTAGAAAATACATTTACCTGAAATCACAACATCTTAAGTGATCAGCATACATGTTTGTCACAATTTATGAGCAGATTACAACAGATTAGATAATTTCATAGTAGTGAATTATATATATTTTAAAACACAATCATATTTCCAATATCATGATAAAGCAAAACTGTGACAATTTACATGAAGTAGACTTTAATTTGAGGTTTTTTTAACGTTTTTTGAGAAATAACACTTCATTAGACCTGTCATCTAAAAAGATTTAAGGCCACTGGATAAATATGAATGTAATAAAGATTCCTAAACAGTCAAATCAAAGTTTAATGGCCCTCTTCTTTGACTAACTACTCCGGCAGAGTCTGTAAAGCCGTCACAGGTACGGTCACGGGAACGGTCACAGGAACGGTCAGGGAAATGGCGCTGGGTTCCACAGTGGAGGAGGGAACCTCACTGGGAGGAGGAGGAGAAGGAAGCGGGTCGGTGTGGATAATGTTTATGTCACTGAGCTGTGTGGGGGCCGGGGGGGCGTCTGCATGAGTCCGTAAGTGCTTGCGAAGGTAGGCAGCGAACAGGAACGCTTTGCCACAGTGCGGGCAGCTGTGGGGCTTGCTGGTGGAGTGGATCTTCTGGTGTTTACGCAGGCCAGATTTGTTGAGGAAGCCTTTGCCGCAGCTGTCGCAGACGTGAGGTCTCGGCTTCGGATGCTGCTTCTCGTGCTCCTGCAGGTCTGCCAGCTGTGCAAACTCTGCCTGGCAGCTCTCACAGACATGCAAGATTTTGGCAACAGTCGGCGGCGTAGAATCAATCGAGTGGAGATTCTCATGCCCCTGGACTTCCTCCCAGCTGCCAAACGTAGCATCGCAGTGAGTGCAGGAGAACTGAGGGAGAGTTGTGTGGGCAGTGAAGCCTGACACTGACCCGGCCTCTGTCTCTTGTTGCTGTTCTTCTTGTTGTTGTTGCTGTTGTTGCTGCTCAGCATGCTCAGCTAGGTGAGTCCTCTCATGTTTGCGCAGGCTGGAGGAAACCACAAAGGACTTCAGACACTCCTCACATTTGAACGGCCTCTCCCCAGAGTGCACACGCCGGTGCTTGTTGAGGCTGGAGCGCTCTGCAAATGACTTGTCACACTCTGTGCAGGAAAAGGGCCGAAGCCCCGTGTGGACGAGCATGTGGCGCCGCAGATCCCAGGATGCTACGAAGGCCTTGTCGCAGCTCTGGCATTTGTAAGGACGCTCTCCAGAGTGGACGCGCTCGTGCACGGCCAGATCAGCCGGCTGCCTGAACCTCTTGGTGCATTTATCGCAGGGGTACGGCTTGAAACCCAGGTGGGCCCGTTGGTGGCGCCGGAAACTGGAGGGGTCGGAAAACATCTTGCCACACTGCGGGCAGAGGAAGGGTTTCTCTCCAGAGTGCGTGCGGAGATGAGACTGGTAGGAGGAGAGCTGGGTGAAGCCTTTGCCACACTGCTCACACTGATAGGGCTTGTTCTGGGAGTGGATGCGCTGATGGCAGGCCAGAGAGGAGGAGCGGGAGAAAGCTTTGCCACAGTCTGAGCACAGGAAGGGTTTCTCTCCAGTGTGCGAGCGCTCATGGTTCTTCAGGTCCTTCAGCTCTGTGTACGTTTTCCCGCACTCATCACAGGCGTACGGCCGATGGCCTTGGTGGTTCCTTCTGTGTTTTCGGAACACAGAGGGATCTGCGAAACTCTTGCCGCACTCGGCACAGAAGTATGGCTTTTCTCCTGTGTGAGAGCGCATATGCACCTTCAATTTAGACAGGGTGGGGTAGCTCTTTGAGCACTGACGGCAGGAGTAAGGACGCTCCCCGCTGTGCTGTGTCATGTGGATCCTCAGGCATATAGCTTGCATAAAGGCCTTACCACACTCTGTGCATACGAATGGCTTCTCCCCAGTGTGAGAGCGGCTATGGTTGCGTAGCTCTGTGGGAGTCTTGTAAGCCTTGTGACAGTCGGGACACTGAAAGGGACGCTGGGCCGAGTGAGTGCGCTCGTGCTTTGAAAGTTGAGCCTTGCTCGAGAATGTTTTCGTACACTGAGAGCACGAGTGTTGCAGCTGGCCGTCCTTTACATGTGCCGAAAGCTTGTGGCTCCGCAGCGCCGACAGACTCCTGAAAGCCTCTGTGCATGCAGAGCATTTGAAGGAAGGTTTGGATTTTGGAGGCCTGCCTCTGCCACGTTTTTTCGCAGGCTGATCTTTCACCTGCTCTTCATCTTGTTGGCTGTCTTCGTCCTGTGCAGGAGGGGTGTGCTGCTCTGCAAGAGGGGGGCTGCCCGGCTGAGGAGAGGCCATCTTTATAACTGCAGAGAAATAAATGTGTATTAGTTATGTAAATAAACAGATCATTAGCAGCATAAGAGGATAAGGTGGTTGTACCATAGACATCACATTCCTATGACAGATATGATTTATAATAGCTGATTTTCTGTGAAAGGGGACCATAAAATAATCCGAATAATAACATAATAACACAAATATGTGGGCGTGCATTTAATCACAAAATGGCTGGCATTAGGACCTCAGGGACAATAAGCTAACCGCTTTGATGCCAGAGGAAGTCGGCGATGCAATGACACAGATCACACTGTCTGCATGACTGACATGTGCCCGACCCCACGAGAGGATCAAAGATCACGAGTCAGTGCGACGTTGTTAACAACCGGATACGATAAGTACGTATTCATGTTCGCTTAGCTCTCTTTCGCTAAAGACTTTAACACACTCAAAATGGCTGGCTTTAGGACCGGCTGCAGCAATTCTCTCCAGTGTCGTCATCATCATGGTTATGCGGGATGGATTTTGCTAAGCCGCCTTTTTTGCATCGTGTGTGCTTGAGAAAAATAAAAAGGTATTTCTTACCTGGATCAGGGCATTAATAGCTGATCGAGTGCCCGGAAAAGCGTCTCGGTGCACGGCTGCTTTTACTGTGAGTCTCGGGGATTGACTGTCTGCAGGGCGGGGACGGCTCTAGGACCATGATGACGAAAGCTCTCAGCAAGCCAAGTGTGTAACAATTTAATGCGTTTAACGGTAAATAAATATCAAGATAAGGCATATAAATGTATCAGAAACCCCTTGATAATTCACGGTAGAAAGAATGAAGCCACTGGGTTTCATTTCATATTGGAAACATGAATGCCACAGATTATTTTGTAATATAAAGTCAATGGCAGCTTTAGCTACGTAGGCTAACCTACATTGGCTGTCAGGAACTGAGATTAGCTTAAACTGTTTCACAAAAAACAGCATCAGTGGTGGAATGAGTACTAAGATGATGCACTTATTTAAAAGTAAAAGTACTAGCATCAACATGTACTTAAAGTGCCAAAAGTGATAATGCAGATCAGCCTATTTTCAGAATATTTATTTTATGTTTTGATTATAACTATTGATGAATTGATGTTTATCAAAGCTAGTCAAGTAGCAGCTTATTTAATTACTGTGTATATGTTAGTTATATGTGGAAGTTGCTCCAGGTGTAACTAAAGTCGTATTTAATATTGCATCTGTAGAGTAACTAAATTGTAATAAATAAATGTGGAGTAAATACAAGTAAACGATTTACCTCTGAATTGTAGTGGGGTAGAAGTACAAAGTAGCAACACATTTAAATACCTAACTAAAGTAAAGTACGTAAATGTAGTTACTTTACTTCACTCAGTGTGATAGACATGTTTCTATTTAAGTTGAATGTGGGGTTACTTTAACGCTGAGCCCCTCTGGTCATATTTCGAGGGGGAAGTATTTCTCTGCTGCACATTTCCTGTTCCTTAGCAACAAGAGCAATGTGGAAATGGTGATGGGAGAAGAAAAGACAATTGGAAAAAACGGGGTTGCCCTTTAACACAAATATAACGCTATTTTCAAATGGATGAATTAAGTAATATCTTCGGAGGCTAGCGTTGAACCAGCCCTTCTTTAGGTATGTAATCTGTCGCTTTTGTCCACGCTGTGATTCCGGTTTTAAAACGACTTCTTGGCTTTTTGGTGCAATGTTTGTTTAGCTAGCCTCGATGATGCTAGTTGGTAGCGGGCTAACGTTTGCCAACTGTTTTACACGAATTTAATCATAGTTAACCTGCCTGTTTGATCTGTATAATAAAATAACAATGACTTTATTATTCAGATGTTGTTAACAATGGAACAGAAAATGTGTGGTGTTTGTTGTGGTAATAAATCAGTAGAGATAGGCGTTTCCCGGTTTATTGTCATAGCTAGGTCAGTAGCTTGCTACTGCAGAGATGTAGCTAAACATGGTTACCGTTTCTAGCTAACTACATTTAATTTACTACGTATTTTACCATGAGGCTGGTTACCTTCTGCCGACTCTGTAACCCATTATATTGTGTGGCATCTTTATTACACTTTATCACATACCTTGCCTTTTCTTGTTCTTATTCCTGTTTGTTCAGCATGTTAATACACGTTATCATTATTTTTTCTTCAGTTGGAAATATATGTTTAAATAGTGGATCATTTAAAACTTGTTTTAATAAACTCCATTTAAAGTATTGATTGTAATGGTTAGAAAAAAGGGTACAAATAAGGACAACGTGAAACAATGAAACAAAGAAAGGATGCTTTATTTTGATAATTGTTACCAAATTGTAACAGTGTCCTTTATAGTGGACAAGTTACTATGTAATATTAAGAGGCTTAATCAATGCAAATGAAGGGGTAGGACACATTGTAGTGGGTAGTTCTGTAGAAAATGCAATTGTTCTTTTACATATGAAACATTACCTTACTGTGGCTGGCTTTTCAAAAGATGAATTTACTTTTATAAGTTTCAATCTTTATATATACAGTCTATGGTTTAAATAAGGGTTCAAACCCTTTTGAGGCATACACATTAGTAGTTGTTCAATGTAGCTTCTTAACTGACATGGTTAAAATGTAAATTTGTATAGAAGAATTGTTTGAGGAATAAACCTTTACATCTTTATGTGTATTTACATGTATAATTGGATTGTAGGTTATTTGTAGCTCTCTTTAATGTATACATAACTCAATGCAACGACTGAATACTATTGTTTACGTATACACAACTGCTCTAATTGTCACTCCTTCTTTCCACAACAGCTACCGGCTTCTCCTGAATTCAAGCCAATCCTGATTGGGTAGAACTGGTTCTCAACGACCTCTGCTGTTTTACCTCCCATGACACTTGGACCTTACTGTAAATACCTACCTTCTGCGTATAAGGACGATAAAGGCATCTGATGCATTTCCCTCTTGAATATTCATGCAGTGTGTGTCTAGTGCACTTATTTGAAACGTCATCTTGTAATGGCGGTGAAAGACCCTGGCAGGACAACAAGTTTTCCTTGCAAACAATGCGACATTGTATGTCCCAACATGCCCAGTCTGCTTGAGCACATGGATGCCCACCTTCAACAAGAGGAAGATCGCAAATTTAAATGTGATGAATGTGGACGTGGTTATAGACATGCTGGTAGCCTAGCTAACCACAAAAAGACACACGAAGTGGGTTCTTTTCAATGTAACATCTGCGGTAAAGAAAACTCCAACTCTCTGGCCCTGAAGAGTCATCTCCGGAGTCACAACTATCAGAAAAAGTACTCCTGTGACCAATGCGAAAAATCTTTTCGTCTGGCATCACAGCTATCCACACATGAGAGGGTTCATCTTACCAGGCGAGTAAAGGACCGCTCGTATAGGAAGGTAGACATGGAATATCCCATACCTGAAGATGATGAAATAGAAAATGATCACCCCATTGAGCAGTTGGCTGGTGTTGGGATTTCTACAGAAAATAGCCCAGCTGAGTACAAGACGGATGTTGTTTATAACGCACAATCTGAAACGTCTGATGATGCAGCAGATCGGCCTTTCAGATGTGACCTGTGTGACAAATCATACATACATCATCGAAGCCTGACCAATCATAAAAAGACTCACCAAGTGGGAAAGTTTGAGTGCACCGTGTGTTGCAAACTGTTCAATAACATGGCTGCCCTCTACAGCCACCAGAGATCTCACAAGACGAGAAGCGGGACGGAACCAGATTCAGTGGGGAGGTCATACACTGCGGCACCACTGGACCAGTTTTCACCCCAGAGCCAGGATGCTGCAGTAAACTTTTGCCATTTATGTCAGGTTCTATTCCCCAATGATGAAGAGTTCCAGGAACACATCCAAATGCATAACTCTTCTTCACTGTCATTTGGGCTTCAAGATACCTTGTCCGAGAATCACAATATGTCCTATGAAAACAGTATTGCCTCGCCCGAGTCAAATTTGTATGCATCTCCTATTAATAACGTTCCCTCAGTATCATCACTAGAACAGATTAGAAGTAACGGTCAGATGTACTCGGACTGCTCCAACAATCAGACACCACCTTCCAATAGTACTCAGGGAGAACCCTCAATCATTGACACAAGTATTCTCAATCCTCTCCTGACGCTTGACACTGACAGTGCAACTGCAATGGAAGAGAGTTCAACTGTAGAATCTGCTGAGCGCCCCTTCAAGTGTCAAATCTGCAGCAAAAGCTACAGGCACTCTGGGAGCCTCATCAACCACAAAAGGTCACATCAGGTCGGGATTTACAAATGTTCCATCTGCGAAAAGAGCTTCCCTCACCTGGCCGCCCTCAAAAGTCATCTCCGTGTCCACAAAGGTCAGTCGTCATCGTTCGGCTTCGACGCTGACGGAGACTGGCTCTCCTCAGAGCCTCTGACTCTGGATAACCAACAGGGCTTCTCCGTTCAAGAGGAGGAGGAGGAGGAGGAGGAGGAGGAGGGGGAAGAGGAAGAAGGGGAGGAGGAGGGGGAAGAGGAAGAAGGGGAGGAGGAGGGGGAAGAGGAAGAAGAGGAGGAGGAGGAGGAGAAGGAGGAGGAGGAGGAGGATGGCATCTTCCCTCTAGTTGATATGAATCAGGAGAATGGATTGGAAGACAGCAATGGAGCTTTGTACCATGAGCAATTCAATCCGGATTTCCCCCACGATATGACTATGCATCTACCTCATAATGACCACCTGACGCAGAGGCACATGTGTGCAGACTGCAGTGAGACATTCGCAGACATTGCAGGGATTAAGTCGCACGTTTGCCCACTGCTACAGCAGCAGCATGACACTACGAGCAGTGACTATGATAGTGTTGTACATTTCCAGGACAGTAATGATGTTCAAATTCCAGGGAGTAATGTAGACTTCCAAGGTCTGCATGGTAACCACGACCAAAGTTACTTTGAACAAAACTTCCATGAGGAAATAAGAAGTGATCAGATGAATAGTTGCGGAGAAGGGGATAACGCTGATGAGGAAGAGGAAGATGGAGATCTTTGTCAGTGTTCTTTATGTGGAAACAGCTACACCAGCATGAGGGCTCTTAGGAGCCATCTCCGAGGACACACACAGTCCCATGGCACTCCTGCAAGCTCTGGACCTTCCTCTATGTCCTCCCATGAAGAGGTGAAAGACGAGGAGGCTGAGGAGATGATGATCTGTAGCACATGTGGGGAAAGTTTTGCCAACAGTCAAGACTTGATCACTCATCAGCTTCTACACGACAAAGAGCAAGTGGACAGTGTTAATCAGTTACACATGGACAAGAGCGGTGTGTCTGAAGCCAAGGAGGATGTACAGAGTATCTGTGGCAGCTGCGGCATCTTCTGCATCAGCTTCCATCATCTTACGAACCATGGCTGCTCCACTGAGAGGACAGAGAAGTCGACTCATACTGAACAGGAAATGAAAGGGAATGATGTCTCCCAGAATGATCACACGACTGATAACAAAGAGACCTTTGATACTGAAGATCGGCAGTACAAGTGTGATCAGTGTGGGCGTTCATACAGACACGCCGGCTCCCTCCTTAACCACAAGAAGTCCCACAAAACTGGTGTGTTCAGGTGCCTCGTCTGCCAGAAACGCTTCTACAACCTGCTGGCCCTCAAAAACCATCAACGGTCACACTTTGATAAAAAGAGGTCAGTACAGATGCACATCATTCAAACATGTCTAATTCTCATATGTGTCACTTGTCTTAATCGTGATTTAAATGTTAAACCATTTTTGTTTTGTGACTTTAAGACAGTTGTTCTAACCCTAACCCTTTTGCAAACACAGATTACCCCTATGCCTTGTCTCTTTCCCCAGGCATTCTTGCAATGAGTGTGGCAAAGCTTTCAAAATTCAGAAGCAGTTAATAAACCACCTGAAAAGGCACAAGGAGAACCAAGCCAAAATCGAAGACCTAAACAACCAGATCCAGGCCCTCATGGAGATGAATGGGACCAGGCCAGATGGAGGAATGCAGTCCTTAACTCCAAACACCAATCAGGCTTTTCCCTCCACTCGACGCCGCAAGCAAGTACTTGAAGGGAAGATGGAGCAAACTAAGTGTGAGACCTCCATCAAATCTGAGAACACGGGTGACCAACGGCCTTTCGCCTGTGATCAGTGTGGCCGTACGTATCGCCACGCAGGAAGTCTGGTTAACCACAAAAACTCCCATAAAACAGGCGAATACTACTGTTCCGTTTGTAATAACAATTACCCCAATCAGCTAGCGATGAAGAACCACATGCGCACACACTTTGCATTGAAAAAGCATTCTTGCCAAAACTGTGGGAAAGGGTTTAGGGGAAAGAAGCAACTATTGGCCCACGTGTGTGCGGACCTCAGAAAGGAGAAGGCCGGAGTCAAGAAGGTCCTCAAACCGAGAGCCTTTAAGTGTAAGGAATGTAAGAAGGCCTTTGTTTCTGTTGACAAGCTCACTACCCACACCTGTGATGCACCACCAGGCAGAAGTGAGGCACAAACAAGTGTGACTCGGATTAAAGAGGAGCGGCCTTTCAAGTGCATGATATGTAATCGCAGCTACCGCCACGCAGGCTCCCTCCTGAACCACAAAAACACACACAAGACCGGACACTTCAGCTGCACCTTCTGCTCCAAGCCCTTCACCAACCCCATGGCTCTACGCAATCACACGCGCATCCACACGCAGAAGAAGAAGTACGTGTGTCTGACGTGTGGAAAGGCCTTCCGCCTCGCCAGTATCCTGCACAACCACCAGAGGATCCACAGCCGAGCTGCCAGTCACTTCAGGTGCTCTGCGTGCGGGAAGAGCTTCCAGGGCCGGTCCGGTCTGAAGAGGCACCACTGCCGCCGAGGGCAGGAGAACGCCCCGAGAGCCGGGGTGCAGCAGACAGAGCGCGGAGACAAGTGCTTCATGTGAGTAACTGTCAACTGAGTGTGTACGTCTTGTTTTGTGTATTAGTTGTCATTTGGGTCGTTTTTATATATTTTTTAACAAAGATATCCTGATCTAATTGATACATATGCAAGGCATTATATTTGCTTCTCATTGATTCTTTACATTTCTAGATATTTAAAAATAACCACTCAAAAGGTTTTATAAATCTCTAAAACGCCCCAGTCACATGTATTGGTTGTTAATCTTTTTAAAAATAAATTAAAACAATCATTAGCAATACTTTTTTTTACTTGTTTAATGTTAGAAACAAATATCAGCCAACTGTTATTTTAACGCAACAGTATCAGCTTAAAAAATCCTGTATTGATGAACTTAGTCATACGTATTATTATGAGTCAAATTAAATATTTGTGGTTCTCCCACATTCTTTTAAGGGTGAGAAATATACAATTCATTTGGAAAATTCAAAAGCTTTGAATGGAAAAAAAAGATATTTGTTAAAGCTCAAGTAATAATTCAGGCTAGCTAACAAAGAGTTCAGTGTTGTGTCTAATGATTTGGGGTACAGTGTAATACCAGGCATTGAATATGAACGTATTCCTGCTGCAGGTGTGACTTGTGTGGGCGCTCCTACCGCCACGCTGGCTCCCTCCTCAACCATAAAAAGACACACTCCGAAAGCCTGCACCACTGTTCCTTGTGTCTGCAGACATTTCCTGACCCTCTCACTCTACAGATTCACTCCCAGATGAGGCGGCACTGCTGCCCCGAGTGCGGCAAGACCTTCTGTCAGCTGGCTCACCTGCAGAGCCACATGGAAGTGCACTCCAAGCCAGCGTCCAGCTACCAGCAGCACCAGGGGGCTCAGGACCCCTACCAACGCAGCGGGGAACAACCCGTAGACGACATCGGCTGGGACTCAGGAATAGATCAAACCACGGGGATGGACGGGATGCTCAAGCCGGTTCCTCCCCCTCTCTCCCATATTCCAGAGAGCATCGCTGATTCAGAGAAGAGCAACGAGACGGAGGAGAAGAGCCACGTCTGCGATCACTGCGGCCGCACCTACCGCCACGCCGGCTCCCTCCTGAACCACAAGAACAGCCACAAGACGGGCTCCTACTTCTGCTCCGTCTGCCAGAAGGAGTTCACCAACCTGATGGCCCTCAAGAACCACCGGCGCATTCACACGGAGCCGAAGCGCTACCAGTGTCTGGAGTGTGGCAAGGCTTTCCGAGTGTCCACTCAGCTCATATGCCACCGCCGGATCCACACCAAAGAGAAGCCTTTCGCCTGCCTGCAGTGCGACAAGAGCTTTTCCAGCAAGTCCAACCTGCGGCACCATCAGAAGCTGCACCAGAACACCCAGAGCTACGACGCGTCTTTTAGCATGGATGCTAACGCGTTTATGGACTTGGACATGGGATCTTTCCTTTGAAAACAGATTCCAGAGCGTACAAGAGACGAGGATAGGCAGCCCTCTTATTTATCTGTTATTCATCCCTCTATCAGTAATTGTATTTTTATTTCCGAAGCTTTCGTTGAAGACATTTCATTACTGTCTTACCTCCTGGTGACTCAAGTCCTCCACAGGGTTTACTGGTCAGCTTCTGATTAGGACTGAGGTTTTCTTTGATCAACAGGATACCAGAATACACGGTGGCTGATAATATAAGTCGCGGCTCATTCCTCAAGGACAAACCAACCAAAGTGATCAGAAAAGTGCAGCCCAGGTCCATGACAGTACTATCTTCTCTTGCTATGTTTAATTGTGTTCAGTGCCTCTGAATGTTCCTTAGGAAACAAAGTAATACATATTATATTTATCTCTGACTCCTTTTGTTAGCTGCCAAAAGGACTGCTCACTTTCTTTTTGGATTTCAAAAATGGCAAGCCTGTTGTAAGTCAAATACCTCTGGGCGTGTCCGAAGGGCAGTGGCAAAGTGATTTTCTCAATCACATTATCAAGTAAATAGTCGTACTGCTAATAATAATCACGTCAAGTGACATAGTATGCTTACATAGTATGTTTTTATTAATTTATTCCTGTTATGTGCATATTGACCAGCTTTTTTATGAATGTTGTAAAAAAAAAAAAAAATCTGTCTTCTAAAACTCATGTAGCCTTTAAGGAACGCCATCAGTCGATTTGTATTTAGTTCTCAGTTACAACAAGCAGGAATGAATGAGCCAGGCATCATTGGCTGCACTCAGGGTAACCCTTCAAAAGGAACTCACCTGACGTGGTAAACATTGTACATAATCAGGTTCACAACTGAGCAGTTTCTTTCCACGTGCCATTTCAACTCAGACGTTCGTCACTCCAACAGTTAGCTGCAGATGCACGTGTAGTGCATGCTCACCCGTTATAGTCCATCTCAATCCTCTGAGAAGCATCAGTAAAGTGCCAGTGCCTAACATGTCAAGTAAAGTGTAGCAGTATCATTTTAACAAACCTCCTCTTGATATATTTCTTGTTAACTAAACCAGGGCCGGGCGATACAGTAAGTGAATACCTTGACACGGATATTTGTCTAGATTACACAATAAAAAAATGTGATAACCAATAATACAGTAAAGGCAAATAATGGAATTAAACTTATGATGAAATACTATCGATGTTAGGGCTGCACAATATTGGAAAAAAACTGACATTGCGATATTTTTGAATTGAAGAAAAGACGGGGTTTTTTTGGTCCGAAAACCATCCTTTCTTGAACTTTAATGCTATACAATTGTTTTTGTTTTTTTACGATATTTAACCGGATGAAGGATTTTAGTCACAGACTTCTGGATCTTAAGTTATCAGAGCAACAAGCTGAGCTAGCTCGGTTAGCCTGCTGTGATCTGATCAAGAATGATTGTGATTGGTGGTTTGCTGTCACTCACTCAAGAACAGGAGAGCCGCGGGAGTTTTCCTTTTGTAGCAAGCTGCAAAAGAATTGTAACATGACGTGTTTGAGTTAATTTGCCTACTTAATATCGCACGCCCTAAAAAAAACGCACGTCCTGCGATGTGAATATCGCGCATAACGCGATTATCGTCACGACGCGATATATCGTGCGGCCCTAATCGATGTAATGATCTCCAAAATGTAACGATATCCAGTTTCTTATCACAATAATATCAGTGTAGCCCTTCTGTAAACTAATACAGGTTTTTTTTATTGTCCGTTACATCATTTATATCCATTTTCTGATTTGTAAATCTCCTCAGCCACAGTCAACATCGTAATGAGGTGAAAGTGGTTTATTTTTGTATTTTTTCCCTTTTTATGAATAAAACACACATTCATTTAAAAACAACACATGTGGCCAAGCGCAGTATCACCACAGACAGCGAGGGCTTTATGGATTCACAAGGACGAGCCACTTCCATCTTCACTGTCCAGTTCATGGACCACTTTACGCTCTGTGAAAAATGTGCAATTATTTATTCTCTGGGTTATTTTTAATATTTTGTAGCCAGGTTGTCTAACAAGCCTGTTGGTCCTTTAGTGGTTTCTGTTCACAGATCAGAAATCTAGCAAAAAAGGAACTCCTGGGAAACAAAATGAAATCAGATTTTTCTTTATGCCTTAGATATTAACATGTCATGCGTTAAGAGTTTGTGTGGCACTGGTCAGAAGTATGCAATACCTCATGGAAAGCCCTGCCTACCTAGCAACTGCTCCGTAATGCCTCATGCAGCTTAATTGTAGAGAATACACTGTAACAAAAACAGATCAATTGTAAGAAATAATATAAAGCGTTCATTCAAAGTTTTTTTTTGTAGTTTTCAAAAGCAGTTTTCACCATAAAATGTGTTTTGTCTTTTAGAGTTATATTTGCACATTTGTAGATGAGACACTTGTAGCCTAAGGAGGACAGGAAGTTAATAAAAATGCAGCCTGCAGCCCTTCGGTAATTCACCTCTGTACGTTTGCGGGTCGTAATATTTAAGCAATATGCTGAAACTATTGTTTCAGTGCATGAGTAAATGTCTAACCATTGTATCAGATTCAGATACTGACACTAGCCTTGAAAAAGTAATCGCCATCTTGGGTTTTTTCATTATCAAAAGTCCTGCAAATATCAATTGAAATGACTTGGATTGATCTAAGTGTAACATGTTCATGCACCATGGTAGCCTACGTGTAAAAGGACACACCTGAGTTCAAACATGTTTGTTTAACTCCATCTGTGGCACTAAACCGGGTCCCTTCTCTGTCATTGAATCCACTTTGACTCTTTTATGATATTTAGTCAAACTATAATATGACTTTATTAAAAGAAAATTGACAAACTAAACCATGACTTATCTGACTTTCTTTACTTTTTTTTGTCGCACTATACGATTACTTTTTTCCGACATGATATACTATGACTTATGATATTATTCAAAATGCTATACTATGACTTTTTTCCCCGTCGCATTATACTATGACATTTCTTGACCATATAATCCTTTTTTATGATGTACTAACTGACTTTCTTTGACGTATTATGACTTCTCTGATATGTTTAAGATGTTTTTTTCTGGTGTTTTCGACATGCTATCCTTTGACTTTTTTTCAACATACGTGACTACGATCTCAGACCTCTGTAAATATTTAGAGGAAAATATCGGTTGGATCTATGTACATTCAGTTTTCCCTCAGCAGAAGAAAACTGCTGGATTAGTTGTGTAATTTAAATAAAACATATACCACATGTTCTGATTTATTGGATTTTCACTGCTCAAAAATGTCTGCTCACTATTTAATTCATATTTATATAACTATTTTGTCACTCTAAAATGTAGATTTTTACTTCTTTGTTAGAACTTAGTTTAGGATATAAGCAAATTGTTGAAATGAATTAAAAGACTTGGAAAATCTAATGTGTTTCGTGTCTTTTTTCTTCTCATTAATAGTGATTGTACATGTTACCGTTAAGACGTGTAATATAATTGTCAGTTTTATTTAGAAAATACATTTGTTACAAAAAGCAGTTTATAAGATAGCATTAAGTAAAAGAAGCCAGTGCATGTACAGTATATACAGAAATGAGAAATAGGAAGCAGGAAGTGTTCGTTATTGCTCAACATCGATGGCTGGCCTGGTGGAAGTCCAACAACAATCTTCACTGGAGTCCCTTTTTAAAAATGTGCTTTGTCACTCGCAGTTGATGCAAAACAACACCGCAAGATACTTACAAATAAATAATACACAAAATCTAAAAGAAGAGTATTTGAAGTGATTCCCTTATTTTGTTGCCATGGGCATCAGTTCACCCACAAGCAGACAGATCCAAAACACGACCTGAAACCTTTCAGTCACATAAAATACAACATACCGACAAACATGGCCGACTAAAAAAAGAAATGGAAAACAACAACCCTGGCCACCGTGATTCTTGCTCAATGGCTACGAAATGACAAACACACATGACATGTATCTTTAGATCTGAAACCGTTCAGAGTTAGTAAGCATACTGATCTTCCTGAAACACTGTAGGTGTCATTTCCTTCACTACAGTACATTCCTCCCGACATTCCCACATGTTTGCAGTTTGGGATTGTGTGTCTAGTGTTACCAACTTCCTGTCCTACGAGTGCTGGGACAGAAAAGCGCGACTTCTGGTGACAAATCATCTCCTAAAACCTAGTAACATTAAAACAGACATGACGTTATTGTATTAACCCGCGATAAAGGGTCTGTGTTGGTCACAGGAGACGCAGTAACAGTGAATAAACACAGCTTTCTCACTGTAATACGACTAAAGGAGCAGGGACCAAGGCCAGCATACATTTCACCTAGAAGCTACATTCAAATGGCCTTAATGGGCCGGACAGTACTTCTTAATATCTCACATGTTTATCTCTAAGAGGCTGTTGTGGTAAATGATCAAACCTTGTCTAACACGCAGAATGGCTGTGTTACATTCATTACATAAAATACAGGATTTGTGAAGCATCTCTGAAGAAAGGTCTGTAGTTTCAAACATCTGTAAAACCCACAAAGGTCTTCCAAACCTAGAAGTGGAATATGAAAGGCACGCAATATCTGAGATTGATACCACTGTTATAATGTTGCTATCCTACAGAGGTGTGAGAGGCGCTCCTGTGGTCTCTGACGGGCCTACACTGAGCACAGCTCTTCACTCGACCGTCTAATAAATAAAAAAGGTCCGATTCTGAAGAAGAGAAACCCTGCAGAGTATTCGGTCCAGAGGTTTTCTCGTCAGGCTCTGAACCAGCCGCTCCTGGGTTCTGTCACATCTGTTTCCAGAGGAAGATGAGGCTGTGGATGGAGAGGATGCTGAATTATTTAAGGTAGATTTAGCTTACAACATATAGCATTCTCTGGTGAGGGTCTCCCCAATACGGATCTTGCAAGGCTTGAAAGTCGTTACTTTTACATTAAAATCTGACTTTATACCAAATGAAGTGTGAACAAATTATCATATAGTCTAATCCTTGTAGTGACAAAGGGAGAATGGTACTTACTGAATGGTTTAAGCTTGGTAAAGTGGCCCCGCAGTTTCTTCAATGGGTTCTGTGATACATCAAAAACATTAGCATTATTCCATCGCAGTAAATTATTTGCTTTTCTTTACTTTTTTCAACATATGACTTTTTTTCGAGATTAATATCTCGAGTGAGATATTAATCGATAATAGCCATGAAAAAAATCTGACTTTGACCAGTTTTTTTCTGATATTTTCGATTTACTATACTATGTCATTTTTTCCGTTATACTATGACTTTTTTTTCTGATGTTTTAGTCAAACTATAATATGACATTTTTGTTAAGATATTTTCGACTATGACGTCTTTTTTCCTCAAACTATATTATGACTTTTTTTCAACAAACTCTAGCATGATATTTTTCATGATATACTATGTTTGACTTTTGCAATATTTTTCAACATACATAATTAGCCCCGGACATGCCCCAGGCCAATTGAACCCCTGTACCTGAGGCCCTTGTAAATGTCATAAAAGTGTTAGTACTTAATCTACGATCAATCTAAGGTTTTGGAGTTGAAGGAATCTCACCACGTAGAGGCCGTTTGTGGTTCTTTCGTCGATGTACCATGACCCCGATAATCAGCGCCGCCCCGACCAGAACCACCGCCAGCACCGAGAAGCTGGTAATGGCCGCGAGCTTCCACACGTCAGACGTCTCGTCAACAGATTTACCTGTTGGTTAAACAAAAAAAAGTAAATTACAAACACTTAAAAGAAAAGTTACCACTGTATAAATGTATCAGAATCACCTTTATTGGCCACAAGTGTGAACAAATCAAGGTGTTGGACTTTAATTTCTTTAAAGACATTAAAGCTGGACAAAAAAGTGGAATAATATATACTGTACATATAGACTGTTGTGCATATTGTAGAAAAACATATAGAAAAAGCACCATTATCAACCAATGACAAATTAAGTTCAAATAAAAGTAAAGTGTTACTTGTAACTTATACAAATATTGCAGATAAATACTGAATGGATGCTTATGTACATTGTACATGTATATCATATATATACAGAAAATACAATTATTAAACTATTTTTTTTCATCAAAACTGTAAAGTTATATTGTGGGTGTCTTGTTACAGAGGTGTTGAAACTGTATGACTAAACAGTTAGGTGTGACAGCTTGCGGGAAGTAATATTTATTTGTGTGTGTCATCAGTTAATCATGGCAGGAAATGATTTACATTCACTGATTCACTGTCTTACATGTGTTGCAGGACGGGGTCTTCGGGTACTGTTTGCACGACGAACACGACAGACAAACGTCCAAATCTGAGTTCCAAAACTCTGAGCTGCCACACTGACCTGCACAAAAACATCAGAGGTAATGGGTTAATTTCTCATGATTTATGAACACATAACACTGCTTAAGGATGTGACATGTTATGACTTGTAGCAGTGGCAGACTCAGGGGCAGGGGCGGAAAAAAGGGGCAACAGGTGCACGACCTTAAGCATCAAGATGGAACGTTATCATGTTTTACCAACCACTTTGCAGAGTTTTGATCAAACATTGCGGCACAGAAGGATACCTTTGTGAAACAAACCAAAGCTTTCCTGACTCTGGAATAAAGTTCAAATAAATGATGATAAACAGGTGACTTGCAGAAGCCTGGCTAATACAGAAAAACATGAGACTTATATGAAATGTGTGGCTTTCTTCTTCTCATAAAACGAAAGTGGGAAATTCCTATGGGTCAGACCGCTGATGTAAACCCAATTGCAAGACAGAGGTTTACTCAGTCATTTCAGGTGCATGTGCTGTGTGAAGAGCAGGATGTGTTTTCAAAGAGTGCTTCCTTCGAACTGTTTTGCGACTGCGTGTGACTTCCAGAGAATAAACTAACATGTCGGTGAGAAAGTAGTCATTGGAGGTTCAGCTCTGAGAGGAGGACACAATGGAAAGCTTCATCTCTTTCAATGGCAGACAGACAGCTGAACAATTAAAACGCTGGCCTTCCCAGGTGATAAGGGAGGAATATGTAAACACAGTTAACACCAATGGCATGGTAAAGAAACGGTTTTAGTTTTTTAATAATGTGTGCTTTTATCTGCTGGTTCCTGGATTTGGTGAAGAGGCATATTAATATCTCAAGGTCATGTATAAAGTAGTTCATATAGTGTCATCAGTTGGACAAAAGCCTCTTCAAAACATTGTTGCAAAACAAATTAAGCCTAAAGTAAGAATGAAACCTTACCAGACATGATAAATCAGTGACAGCCTAACAAGGATACTCTACAGGTATTTAATAGATACAATTGATAAGAATGTTTCTTTGTGTCACACTGTTGTTTATTCTCCATAGTTTCACAAGAAACCACCCGAGCCTGAACTGATTCATCGTTTGCAGTAACTGTCCTGTTTGAAGTGGCTGCTTTAATCACCACTGAAAGCAATACCACAACTCACAGAGAGTCAAGAGTCTGACGCAAAACTAAATGAAAAGAAAATGAAGGCGACTGTGGTCAGTACATTCACAATAACACAGAGTATCGAATATGCCGTCAAAGTGAGGACAAATCAACTGAACAACACGAAGTCCAGCTAGTGAAACAAGTGAACAAAAAGTCTATAATAAAATATATTGTCACTCAAGACAGAGAAGAGCAGAAAGAAAGAACAGTTAATGTTTGACACGTGTTGAGCGCCTCTCTGACACTGAAAACAGATGAATGACGTCTTTCGTGTCTCCGGAGGGAGATTTGTAAAATAAATAATCCTGAATAACAAATATCCCTGATGATGTCAAAGTGATGTCACTAGGGTTGTCTCATATTGGGCTTTTGAACAGGAAACCTGCTTAACTAACTGGATGTATGGAGTGAAGGGCGAGGAGGACTTAACGAGAGATGCAGTTAAGTTGCCTTATGGGAAACGTAGGATCCAGGGTTCTTGGAATTTAACCCATGTTTTAAAGGGGACACATTGTGATTTTAGGGTTTTTCCTTTCCTGGGTGTCAAACTCAATTTCTTCGCGGGCCACATTAGCATTATGGTTGCACTCAAAGGGCCGGTTGTAACTTTAAGACTATATATAAAAATACATATATAAATATTTAATATATAAAAAATAATGTATTATATATTACATTATTGCCTCTGCATTGGATTATTATCGGATAGGGTAATAACTTCATAATTAACTATACGTCTGAAAGCAGAAGTCTAGGGCAAATCATTGCAAGTCTCTTC